TCGCTGTCCTGGAACATGGTCCTGAGACTGCCACGTAAGGAAGCCAGCCTGCTGGAGGATGAGAGAACCAGTGTATCCCGGCCAACAGCCAGGACCAACTGCCAGACGTGTAAATAAGCCATCTCGGACCTTCCAGCCAGCTGCTCCTCCAGTTAGACACAGCTGCATGAGTGAGCCCAGACAAAACCAGCAGAGAACGCCCAGCTAATTGCATTTCTCCATCAGTTCTCTATGGCTGTGTAACAAGTCGCCCCAAAACTCAGTGGCTTAAAATAGCAGTAATTTACTATGTGTCACTATTGTGTGGGTCGGCTGGGCAGTTCTTTTGCTGGGGTCACTCATGTGGCAATCGTCAACTGTCAGGTCACTGGGGGTTGACTCAGCTGGACCTCTCTCACCACGCAGCCTTTCGTCCTGGGCTTCTTCCCAGCACAGCGGTCTCAGGATTCCAAGAGGACAGGCCCAGTGCACAAGGGGATGTCAAACCTCTGCTTTTGGCCTGGGGCTAGGCATGGTGGCTCAGTTCGTAGCATTCAATCCAAAATGCTGTAATCCTAGCACTTTGGGAGGCCAAGACAGGAGGACTGCTTGAAGCCAGGAGTTCAAGACCAGCCTGGGCAACATAGCAGGACCTCGTCTCTACAAAAATAATATTAAAAAATTAGCCAGGTATGGTGGTGCACACCTGTAGTCCCAGCTACTTGGGAGGCTGAGGTGGGAGGATCACTTCAGCCCAGGAGTTTGAGACTGCAGAAAGCAGTGATCATGCCACTGCACTCCAGCTTGGGCAACACAGTGAGACCCTCACCGAAAAATAAAATCTCTGCTTTTGTCACACTTGTTGATGTCCCATTGGCCAAAGCAAGTCACACAGCCAAGGCCAGAGTCAGTGGGGGAGAGGATGACCCAAAGGTGTGGACACCAGAAGGTGTTGTTTGTTGGGCACCACCGTCATAGCAACCTACCATAGCATGTGATCTTGGGAACAGGGTCCAGGGGCAGCATAGCCTCTGGGTACCCACCTCATACATACCCAGAGCTGAAGCCCAAATCCCACACTTTACAAGGCTTCAGGGCCAGTTTCCAAGGGAGAAGTTTGGTGTCCCCAGTTCCTCCAGAGCTGGAATTGACAGGGACAGCAAGAACAGCAGCAACATGGAGCCTCTCTCCTCACCCATAGGGATGGGGCCAGACCCTGTTCCAAGCCCTTCTCAGCTGAGATTCTGAGCCTTCAGTGCCCAAGTCCATGGATGCTCAGTGGCCCCAAGTCCCACCCCCAAGCCCTACCTCCAGTGAGATCTCCAGTGGAAAGTGACAAGCATGAGGCTTAGCATACAGTAGGTGCTCAGCTAACTTCAGCTCCCTCCCCACCTCCCCTCACTGGCCTGGAAGCCACTGTACCGCTAGTCGGCCTAGAAGTTAGCCGAGTCTTTTCGGCTCTGGACTGCAGGGACTGTACAGGGAGGGTGGAGTCTGTTGTATCCTCCACTCTGGGGGTCGGAAGGAGGAAAAGAGCAGAGCGGGGAGAGAGAGGCAACAGAGTAAGACCCTGATTGGAAAAAAATTCTCTGCTTTTGTCATAACTGCCTGCACCACCCTCCCTCCCTCTCACCACCCCTTCCCCGTCTCCTCCTGTCTGTTGCTGGTGAGTGTGTCTGCTCAAACTCTCTCTGCGGTTCCTCTTTTCTTCTCTCCTTCCTTTCCCCTTTTCTCTGCTTCTCTCCAGGTCTCTTGTCTCGGTCAGTCTCTCTTACTGTCTCTTCCCGAGTGTCTCTGGTTTTCTCTCAAGTTCACATTCCCCTCTTCCCTTCTCTCTTTCTCGGTCTCTGTAGACCCCCCTCCCTCCTCATCTTCCCCCTCCCTCCTCATCTTCCCCCTCCCCTCCTCTCCCCGCTCTGTGTGTCTCCTGTCTCTCCCTAGGTTTCTCTGTCTTCTCCCTTTCCCTGGGACTCCTTTTCTTCTCTCTCTCCCCTTCCCTCTCCACCACCTTCCCCTCCTCTTTCCCACTTCTGCTCTTTTCCTTCTTCCAACCCCCCAGGGTGGAGGATATGACAGACCCCACCTTTCCTGTACAGCCCCTGCTGCCCAGAGCCAAAAAGACTCGGCTAACAGACCAGCAAAGGCCAAGAGGGTACCCTGTCACGGTCTGTGCGGCACCTGGGGAGCAGGTCAAGGGGGCTTGCTGCGTGACCGAGAAAATGGCTTGCCTGGTCACGGTTCAGAAGAGCAAGAAGGACATGCCAGGGCTGAGATAGGACTACGGAAGTGACGTCCCTCTTTCAGGGTCCAGCCTTTCCCCCGGTACCTGGGATGGGTGGGGCAGGGGAGATGAGGCTGACTGGGCAGGGACCTTCCGTCCTTACAGGGGTCCAGCAGGGCAGTTCAGAGCATGGACCCCGCGAATCCTGATTGTGCGATTTCTATAGCGTGACCTCGAGCAAGGTTCTTAGCCTCTCTGTGCCTCCACTTCCTCAGCTACAAAATGGGTATAACCACAGCACCTTCCTCATAAGAATATTGAGAGGATTCAATGAGGCGATTCACCTAAGGTGCGCAGGACAGTGCCACAGAGTAAGTGCACATAAATGTTAGTTATTTTTATGAACACATGCAATTCTCACGAGTTAAAACTTCCACCACTGGTTCTCAGTGGTTCTCAACCAGTCTTGCCCTGAGGTTCATCTGGCAGTGTGTGGAGACATTTTCAGAACTGAGGTGGAGGGTTGCTGCTCCAGGCATCTAGTGGGGGAAGGGGGTAAGGGTGCTACTGACCATCCCACAATGCACAGGACACCTCCCCCCAACAAACACACTCTACAAAGAATGATTCCCGCCAAATGTCAATGGTGCCACGTTTGAGAAACTATTCTTTAGGTAGGTATCACAGTTGTACCCATTTACAGATAAGGAAACGGAGGTTCAGAGAGGTGAAGGGATTTGTTCAAAATCACATGGCCAAAGAAATAGCAGAGCTGGGATATATCCCAAGGCCATCTGCTTCTGAGACTCCTGTTTCTGGGAAGACCAGCCATGGCAGAGAAGGGGTCGGGAAGGGTCTACGAAGGAGTCTCGAAGGCCACCGATACAGGGTCTGTATGACCCTCAGTGAGCCAGAATGCCCTTCTGTATCTCCACATGATCACACGACAGCAAGACCACCCCCAGGTGCCCACCTCTGGCTACCATGGCTACACACAGAAGCACACACATGCACACTACAGCCTCTCCTCCCATTGCATTGCCATTACTGGAGTCTGGGGACTGTTTGGGGACATCACAAGTCAGAGCCTAGGTTTTATGGGGCGCATCATGGGCTGCTGGTGCCTGACTCCACCTGGCACACAGGCCCTGGGCGCCACCTGTCACCACCTGTGCTCGGCAGGTTGGTGGGGTGGCGGGAGGCTCTGAATGCCTCATCAACTCCCCCTCCCTACCCTTGTCTCTACCGCTGGCAGGGAGACAAGAAGCCCTGCCTTCCCCTCACCAGAGTTAATCTCGTGGTGACCCCCTCCCCTATTCCATTAACAGCTTGGAGGACGGACGGGACGGTCTGTTCCGCGATTAGCTGGGGCCTGGACAGAGGATCTAGGCCAGGAGCGAGAGGCGGGGCCTGGGGCTGGGGGATAATGTGGTTGTGGGGGGAGGGTGTGAATAATCATGTGTGACAGTAGCTGTGAGTGTGCATGTGTGTTTGTGTGACTTTGTGCCCTTATGTCCACAAGTGTGTGCGCTGCGTGCGTGTGTATGGGTGAGTGTAATGCCCCGGGGCATGTACGTGAGTGTGGATGTGAGTCCCTCTCACTCTGTGGAACCCATCAAGCTGCCAGATGCCTGGCTCTGGGCTGAGTGTAACTGACACAGGCCTGGCTCACTCAAAAACTATTAGGTGGGGAAACTGAGGCACCACAAGTGAGATTAGCTGCTCAGGAGGGTCACACAGTGGCAGGTTCCAGCCTGTTGACCTCCTTTTAGTAAACCAAATAGTCCGTCTCTTGCTTCTGTGTTGTGTCTATGTTTGTGAGAGTATGTTTGAAGGTGTAGGTGTGCGAATTTGTGTGTGTATAGGAGGGTGTAGAAGAGTGTATGTGTTTGACAGTGAGCATTAGTATGTCTGTGTGTAAGGGTGCACGCATGTGTGGGAGGATGTGTATCTGAGAGTACGTATGTATGTATGTGTCAGTTGTGCATATAGATGCGTGTGTGAGAGTGAGTGTGTGTGGAGTATTGAGTGTAAGCGTGTGTATTTGAGGGTGTATCTATGTGTTTATGTGTTCAGGTGTATGTATGAGTTACTTGTGAGAATATATCTGTATGATCAGATGTGAGTGTGTGTATCTGTGCAAACCTGTGTGAGTGATTCTGTGTGAATGTGTGAGTGTGAGTGTACTTGAGCATGTGTGTGACTGCATGGATATATCTGTGAGGGAAGAGGTGTGTGTGGCTGTGTGTGTGTGTGTGTGTGTGTGGGTATTGTGTATCTGTATGATCCTGTGTGTGTGTATGAGTATGAGTGTGCATGAGCATGTGTGTAACTGTGTCTATAAGAGAATGGGTGTGTGTGACTACTGTGTGTGTCTGTAAGGATAGGGGTGTGTGTTACTGTGTGTCTGTTAGGAAATGAGTGTGTATGGCTGTATGTGTCTGTAATGGAATGGAGGTGTGTGACTGTGTGTGTCTATAAGGGAATGGGTGTGTGTGACTGTGTGTATGTGTGTCTGTATGATCCTGTGAGTGTGAGTGTACAAGTGTGAGTGTGCCTGAGCATGTGTGTGTCTGTGTGGATGTATCTGTAAGGGAATGGGGGTATGTGTGCATGTGTGAGTGTATCTGCATGTGTGCCTGTCTCTGTATGAGCGTGTGTGGTGGCCCTGAGTCCTACCCTGCACTGTGGCCACATCATGCCCTCTACATGGCCGCTCTCCTCCTGAATTTGCACTGACCCAGGGCTCACTAGTGGGCAGCTGGTGGGATGTCCTGGCCTCACTCTCACTCCCCCACAGGTGTGATCCGGACAGCTGTGCCTGACCTTGATCGTGAGAGCCAGGAGCGCTACGAGGTGGTGATCCAGGCCACTGACATGGCGGGTCAGCTTGGTGGCCTGTCGGGCTCCACCACCGTCACCATAGTGGTCACTGACGTCAATGACAACCCGCCCCGCTTCCCACAGAGTGAGTGAGGCCTTCCCAGAGGGAGGCGCATCTGTGTGTCTGTCTGCAGCCCATTCGAGCCACCCACCGACTCAACTTCCCTTTAGACACCAAAAGATGGACTCCCACCTGTCTGTCTGTCTGTCCACCCAAGTCACCCACTGGCCCCCAGTCTCCTCCAGTCATGCTGCCTGCAGAGGAAGGCCTAGTGATGTCTGATTTTCCACAGCCAAGGAATGCCATGGCCTGCTCAGCCTTCCTCCTGCTTCCTGCAGAGGGGACACCCCGCCCATCCACCCTTCTGTCTATCCACCCTCCCAGTCCTCTCTCACACCCCCATTAGCCTTTTGCAAGCTATGTGCCTCCGCCCAGGGCTTGCAGTGGCGGGGGGAGGCAGAGGGACAGCAGCTGTGTCTGGGAAAGCTGAGTCTGAGTGACAGTCACGTCCCCTCCTCTGAGCCTGGAGGGCAAAAGTCTATGCTTCTGAATCAGGAGGCCTTTCCACCCCCTGCTTCTCCTGGCAAAATGGGAGTTAGGGGTTCTCTGGCATGTCCCCCACCTCCCTACCAGCCAGCCGGCCCCTCTATCCCAGGCTCAGGCGAGAGCCAGCTGCGGCGGGAAGCCACCGAAGCTGGCAGAGACTAAATGCCATGGGGAGCTGGGCTGATTCCTATCGGGTGAGTCATTACTTGAGGTCTGCTGCTCTCACATTAGGCCCCGCCACAGGGGACTGACCCCCGAGAGATAAGGAACCCAATCCCTTAGCTGAGTGCCCAGCATTGCGGCCTAGCGGCCTAGCACCTCAGCGCAGACTGAGCCGGAGCCTGGCCGGAAGCCAGCCCATGGCCCCCTCTGCTAACCCAGCCCTGCCTCCTGGAGGGGCTGCTTCAAAGCACCACGCAGGGGGTGGGGCCGACTGGGACCCACCTGGTTTTCTGCCCAGTTGCGCCAGACTCTGAACCAGCCCTGAGCTGGAAGTGCTGGGGTCAAGCGGCAGGGAGGAGGCCGGGGCCTGGAGGCTTTCTTTCCCTCCCTCGCTCCTTCCTTTGTTTTTTCTTTTTCCTCCTTTTTTTCTCTTTTCCTCTTCCTTCTTTTCTTTCATATTCCTTTATGGTGAAATATAGTACCTAAACAAAAGGGTATGCCATGTAAATATCCAGTTCAATAAAAAATTATAAAGCAAACACTCCTGTGACCACCCACCAGGACCGCAGAAGCCTCAACTATGCCCTTTCCTGATCATAACCTCTCCCCAACCCCCTCCTTCAGCTTTTGAGATCACCATCTTTAGAACCTGTTAACCCATGTATACATCATCAAACATTATAATCTAATTTTGCCTGCTTTGGAACTTCGCATAAATGGAATCATACCATACAAATTGATTTTTGCCTTGCTTTTTATCTCTCAAACTTATGTTTGTGAATTTATGTTGCTTGTAGTCTAATTTATCCATGTTCATGGCTGTACAGTATTCCATAATTGATCTGTTTGGCTGTTGATGGACATTTGGGTTGTTTCCCAACTGGGCTACTGTGAACCCTATTTCCCTGGTGTCCTCATGCCCATTGTGCACATTCTCGAGTGTATATATAGAGGAGCAGAGCTGTGGGTCATGGGATAGATGCAGCTTCAACTTTCCTAAATAAGCCCATCTGCTTCCCCTATGAGGAAATGCACGCGTCCATGTGCCACACTCTTGCCAACACTTGGTTTTGTCAGACTCCTTAATTTGTGTTCGTCTGGTGAGTGTCTACTGGTAGCTCCTCCTGGTTTTCATTCATACACTCACTCGCCCTTCACACACTTCATCTACACGACAGCCTGGGGTTCTGCTGAGCACTGGGAATGCCTGATGAATAAGAGATATGGCCCCAGTATTCCAGGAGCTCACGCCCAGGAGACAGAAGAAACAGAAAATGAGAGAGAAATGCAGTAATCCCTACAAAAGGATACACGCAGGGGCCAGGGGAGCACAGGAGCAGGTCTTGAAGGCCCAGGAAGGTTCCCTGGAGGAGGTGACGTTCAGTGAGGCTAGAAGGAAGAGCGGGAATTGGGACAGCAAAGGCAGAGGAGAGAGGGGAAGGCTGGAGGTGACAGCGAGCAAGTCACAGGTATAGAATCGCAAGAACTTCAGCCAGGCTGAAGCCAGAGTTCGAGTGGGGAGCGAGGCTGGCTGGGTCATCAGGGGCCAGGCACAGGTGTGTTGTCGGGCAGGCCATGGGGTGTGCACAACTCCATCCCAAGGGCAATGAGGAGCCATGGAAGGGATTTTTTTTATCAGGGGAGGGACATGTTCAGCTGGTGCTTTGAAAGTGCCCCCCGGCTGGTGTCTGGGAATAAGTCAGAGGCAGCCATCCCACACAAGGGCTGCCTAGACCTATGGGAACCCCATGAGACACATCGCCACCGTCACCGCTTGCCTGGGCCGGCCTACCGTTTAGCAAGTCACCCTCCCCTTGGCCTCCGTGCTGTCCCGTCTGACCTCATCCCTTCTGGTTTCCCCTCTGCTCGCCCCCTCCAGCCGCTACGGCCATCTTGCCACTCTTCAAACATGGCAGGCACTGCACCCACCTCAGGGCCTTTGCACCTGCTGTTCCTTCTGTCTTAGAAGGCTCTCTCCCAAATACCTGCTTGCCTGGCTCCCCCCGCCCCTTCAGACTTTCGCAGCCACGTCATCCTCTTGGCGAGGCATTTCTTGATCAGCCTGTTTAAACCGCATGACGTCCTCATCAGCACTCCCGTTCCTTCCCTGCTTTATTTTTCTCCTAAGTACCTATCACCGTTGGGCACACCATATGTTTTACCAGTGTGATTGTTTAGCGCCTTTCTCCTTCTCTTATGAGGAAAGCACCACGAGAGCTGAGATTGGGGTCCATTTTATTTGTTGCTGTCACCGCAGTGCCTAGAACTGCATGATGTCTGGGGACATCACAGGCGTTTGACACACATGTATGGAAATGAAGGCAGAAATGCCTTGCCTCTCAACAGTAAAATCACTATGAAACCCCCATCTTAATACAGCGTGTTCCATTCATTGAGTAGCTGCCCTCGGCTCAGCACTCTACTAAGCCTTCTTGGATGTGCCATGATCCAAGTCACTCCCATTAGGAAGGCACCGTTTTTATTTCCATTCTACAGATGAGGAAACTGAGGCTCAGGTTACCCAGCGAGGACTGGCTCCAGGGCCCTGGCCTTTATCTCTGTGGCCCTCTGTCCCCCTCGCTGGGCATGGGGGAAACTGAGGCCCAAAGAACTGCAGGCATCTTCCCAGATCAATCAGTGATTAACTCAAGGGTCAGAAGTAGAAGGCGCCGCTTTGCACTGCCTCCCAAATGTCTGCAGGGACGTGCCTCTCCCAGCCATCTTTCTGCCCAAGCTGGAAGCCCCTCGCAGACACTGGTCTCCCGAAGGAAGCATCTGAGCCCCCTTCCCCCCTCCCCCCAGAGCTGGCAGGGGCTGGGGTCGGGGCTGTCCCCACCCCTGCTCATGGCCGTGTCCCCCACAGAGATGTACCAGTTCAGCATCCAGGAGTCAGCCCCCATCGGCACGGCCGTGGGACGAGTGCAGGCCGAGGACTCGGACGTGGGCGAGAACACCGACATGACTTACCACCTCAAGGAGGAGAGCGGCAGCGGTGGCGACGTGTTCAAGGTCACCACGGACAGTGACACTCAGGAGGCCATCATTGTAGTGCAGAAGGTGTGGCTGCCTCAGGAGGGGTGGGGGAGGCAGCCCCCCCGGGGGGCGGTAGGGTCAGAAGGCCTCTGAGCAGTCAGACACCCCCTACCTCACTCCACTCCAGGGATCCAGTCTCTCTAGAGAACCAGGACCAACCGGGAAAGACACTGATGGTATCTTCCCCGATGTACAAACAAGGCACAGAGAGGTTAAGTGACTCGTCTGGGGTTGCACAGCTAGTTGTCAGTGCCAGTTTGCAATGCAGATTGGAATCCCTGCTCTTAAACACTATGATGAGCCACCTCGAGTCCCTGCCAGGCCCCTCACACTCATCATTTCCTTTAATGCTCATGTTTCCCTCTGAAGGTGAGGTCAGTATCCCCATTTTTACAAGAGGCTCAGAGAAGCAAAGGGGCTTGACCAGGATCATACCTGTAAGGCACAAAGTAGGGATTGGAACCCAGGTCTGGTGACTCCAAAGCTCTTTCCTTCCTGAGTCTAACAGCCTTCCTCACCCACTGGCAGGCCCAGGAACCAGGAGCCAAAACCGCAAACTCAGCAGTCCCAGGGAGAAGGGGAAGGAGGTGAAATAAGCATACATAAATCTGTTTTCTGGGACTTGGTGGTGGGTTTGTCCATTCCAGGCTTTTGGGGCCTTGAGGACTGTCCACTTCGATCCCGCATTCCCATGGGAGGAATACATCCTGTGCATGGGCCCACAAAGGGTCACAGGCCTTTTCTGTACACCTCCAGGGGTGAGGTGTCTACTCCCTGTCATCGGCCAGCTCTTCTTCCTCCCGTTCAGTGGAATCTGTCTCCTTAAATCTGCCCGTCACCATGAGTTCTGCCTTCTGGGACCCACAGAAACACCTGCTCCCGATGGCCACAAACATGTAGTGAGGCTTGCTTTACCTAGCATGAGGGTCTGAAGGTAAACCCCCAGTGCCTTCAGCTACTTCCCAGAGGATAATCATAGAATAGCTAACACTGGTAATAAAGTGCTTACCACGTCAGGCGCCCTTCAGCTGCTTTCCGTGTATTAACTCGTTCAATCTCTTCCTCAACCCTCTGAGGTGCTATTATTGTCCCCTTTGCAGATGAGGAACTGAGCCCCCAGAAGTTCAGTAACTTTCCCAAGCATCCAAGCATAGCCCAGTGGGGATACAGGCCCAGGCTCCAGAATCCGCGTTTTGAAGCATTATGTGGTGTTGAGTCTTTTGATCTCCATTTGTCCGTGAGCCCATTTCACAGATGGACAATTGGAGGCCCAGAGAGGCCCAGCCTCACAGAGCAGCAGAAATGGGCCTGGAACCCAGCCTAGGGACGCCAGCATGTTTGCTCTCATCCTCCCAGGCTGCCGTGTCCCCCTGGCTCTCGGGTCCCCTCTCGCCTGCTCCAGCAGTGGCGCCTGAGGTGTCTCTGTGGAATCAGTGCTGGCAGGGGAGCAAAGCCCCCGCCTGATTGATGACCGGCTCAGGTCCATCGCTCACTCCCAGGCCAGGCCACCACCTGCCTCCCTGCATCCTGATTTCCCAGGCAACAGGGTGGAGGAAGGGGGTGGCCAGGTTTTGCTTTGCTGCTGGGGAAGGTGGGGGTGGTGGTTTGGGAGGAATGGAGGAGCCCTGCCCACAGGGCTGGCACCTGCCTGTGGGGCTCTCGGAAGGCCGCTCCGGCCAGTCAGATGGCTCCCCACCACGCAGCTGAGGCCCCAGGGCTCCGCCATTGCAGTTTTTCCTTGCCGTAAGGAAGGCGTTGTCTTCAGGAGGCCAGAGCCCGCGCAGCAGGGAGCTCATCCATCAGAGGGTCCCCCATTAGCACCCCTGACGAGAGGCCCAGGCTCAGCAGGATTTAGCCGGATCTCAGAGGAAAGCTCCCAGGCAGCCCGGCTTATCAGGCTCAACTCCCGTTAGAAGCTTCCTCCTTGTCCCAGGGAATCCTAGCTCAGCTGCGACTCCCTGCTCCGCGACCTTGGGCGAGCCACTGAGCCTTTCTGGGCCTGCTTCCCCGCGTGGAAAATGAGAATCATCCGAGCTCTGAAGGCTGCTGTGGAACTGAGTTAACATATTTAAAGCACTGGCACACAGTCCTTTGCGTCTCCGAAATAACCCCGCCGAACATCCCAACACTGTGCAGGGAGGCAGGAGGCTTGGCGTTCGCCCGTCGGCCCAGGGTGGCCGCGCGGCCCTA